ATTGATATTTTCGGCCTGAGAAAAGTCTGAAAAAGTCTGCATGCTATCAGTTTATAGAGTCTGGTCAATTACTTAATAATATAGCATATCTTGCTTTTTAACAGATCGTTCCATACTCTTTGTCATTTGTTTCTAATTGAATCATTTTTGCTACAATAAAAATTAAGAGGCTACAGCTAAATATAAGTAATATTCCCTTGTCCTAGGTCGGAGTGCAGTCTATGTTAAAAAAAAATCACTCTTAAGTGCTGGTTCTTTGAAATCGTTTAAATTTACAGGCTTCTTATTGTTGTCATTGTCGCAGAGAACAGGTCTAATTATAGTGAAAATGTATGGATAAAAACATAAACAATGTATCCGAACCAATCAGATTCTTAGCTGCGGAAAAAGGGATTGGCGTCTGGGCATATTTGAGGCAAGGAGACTCTAATGATTGTTACGATTATTATTTTAAAAAATCATGTAACAAGGAAAAATAATATCAATTACAACCATAGTTACTAATATCTGTACCACACAACAAGACGGATTAGACTAATAAGGCTTTCTCTGCAGCATCAAATACTTGAATCATTTCAAGTTATGTGGGCGGAGCATCTGCGCTGTCGGATGTACGAAAACCCATCGTATGAAAGTGTCATACCGCTTGAATAAAACCAGCCATCTCACAGAGGGAGTGCCCCGTGGCACCTCGGTTTATTTGCATGTATGAGAAAAAATTTGATTACGACAGTTAAGATCTCAATGGTTTACACCTTACGCCACAAGACATGCTAGAATTATGGTTAATAACTTGATTGTCTTGAAAATAACTATTTTACTTGATGTTGACCATTGTTAATAGTAAATGATAGTACAATAATTATATTGATTGTATTAAATGATAATAATAATATTAATAGCAATGACAACAATGATGATAACCACAATATGTAATTAATCTCATTTGTATGGAAGACAAAAGAGATGGTAATATTTAGTATTTGTGTATTTCGAAGGATCATTTACTGCCTATCAGAATGTATACAATTTCGAATGTATTGCTCTGGCTCTGTTCTTCGGCAGTGTTTAATCGTCTGTCAGCCTTTTGATACATTTAAAGAAACATATAGTATTTGTTTTTCTTGTAAATTCTTGTTTCTTATTTCAATTGTTAACAGGTTAGAGATAAATGCAAGTCACGTAAAGCAATTTAAACGATTATTTATCAACCATTTATCAATTTACTCGTTCGAGCCTAAAAATAAACGTTGTACCTTTCTGTATAAGCCTGTACTATTTTTCACAAACGTTTCATTATAAAATATTTGTTAAATACACTTTAAATATCCAAATGATGAGTTCTAAAATAACATGCATGAAGTATTTGGCATTTAACCTACATGCGATAGTCGCGCATGTTGACGAGTTGAATGTACAGGTTGGCACACCTGTATGGGCGGTGCTTGAACTTGAAATCACTTGAAATTCGGCAGCAAAAAAACAAAACAAAACAAAACAAACAAAAAAGTTATCGAGAAATTGCAGATAAGGATGTTATAGATAAAACCTATGGTAATAAGTTATTCCTTGTTATATCTACCATCCATGATGCAACATATATTTTCCCAGACCCTCTGACACGGCGCCGTCAACAGGCAGGCAGACCCTCCATACAATCACACAGGTGCCAACAGAGAGGGCCAACACAAAGCCTCAGGGAACGGACCTTTCACACCCTACTGGAGGCTAATGGCGCGAACGAACGAACGAACTCCTGCGCTGAGGCTCGCTGCGAGATTGCTTGGCTTTGTTTGGTCTCCTGTACGGATTTTTCCCTGTTCATCATGTTCAGTGTATATATATATATATATATATATATATATATATATATATATATATATATATATATATATATATTTATTTATTTATATCTATATCTACATCCATCTATCTATCTCTCAATCTCTCTATCTATCTATCTATACACACACACACACACACATAAATATATATTTATATATATATAAATACACACACACAACTCCCCCCCCCCCCCACACACACATATATTTATACCAACAAGAACATACAGAATCTACATAAGAAAGGGAATATACTTGTATGTATGTATCTATCTATTTATCAGGCTATCTATCCATCTATCTCAGAACACATGTAAACGTGTACGCTCCTACGTTAACGACCAATGAAAGCATCAGCCATTGCGAATAATGATCAAATCCAAGACGAAGAGATGCTCCTCAATAAAGAAAAAAAAAGAAAAAGAAAAAGAAAAAGAACACACACACCCAGCAAAAGTGAAAAGCGAAAGATTGACTCCCTTATACGCTGCGCTCATGAAAGTTTCAGCCGCTACCCCACTGCCCCTCCCCCCCCTCTCCTACCCCCCCAGGGACCCACAACATAGGCGGGAGAGTGAAAAGTTTTCCCGCTCTAAGGTGTCGTCTTCTATTTTCCTGGGATCACTAATCTAAGTTTTTTTTTTTTTATCAATATATACAATTACAGAAGTTTTTTTTTCCTTTTTCTTTTTATCTTTTTTTTTTTAACGGGGGGAGGAGGTGGAGAGGGGGGAGGGGAGAGTTTGGATCTGATTTCTCTCAGTTTAGAAAGTTTTGATTTGTAAAACGCGACTTTGGTAATACATTTTTTTTTTCAAATTTCTTTTCTCTCCCGTGTTGACGTTAGGTTAAGTTAAGTAAGGTTTATAGCAGGAAGAGAAAAGGAGTAATTACTGGAAACTGATAATTGGTAAGAAAAAGTAATAAATGGAAAAAAATCTTGCACGCCCACACACGTCTGTATATTCGTATGAAGTAATCGTCCATTTCATCCTGACAAGAGATAGATAGATAGACATAATAGATAAACAGAGGAGGGTGGAGAAGAAAGCGCGCGCTGGAGAGAGAAATACGAAAAACAGTAGATAATAGGAAGGAGAGAGAGAGAGAGAGAGCAACCGAGAGAAAATGGCGAAGGGGAAAAATCCCAAAATAATTGGCTTCCGATATTTTCCTCTGTACCGGCGGAAGACTCTCTCCATGATGACTCTACCTTTTTACCACATGTGTGACAGGACATGGCTGACACCGCCTCGCCTTCAGGTATTTAAAAGCAGAAGGTGCTTTGAGGGGAGAGAGAGATAGAGAGGGAGAGAGAGAGAATGAGAGAGAGAGAGAGAGAGAGAGAGGGCGGGAGGGAGGGAAGGGAAGGGAGGGAAGGGAGGAGGGGAGAGGGGGGGGGATAGAGGAGGAGGATAGGGATTGGAAGTGGAAAATTATTTGATATACAATCTCAGGTTTCTGGGTTTTGCCGCCATTCGAATTATGGAATGGTGGACAGCAGCGACCGGCGAAGCAAGACCCGACAACTCACGAAGGAATATTTAAGTTTCCGTCTCTCTCTCATTCCTCTCCCTCCTCAATATATATTTTTTTTCTTCCTTTCCTGTCTCTGACTGTATTTTTCCCCTCTTCGTTCTTTTAGTAATTTTTTCTTTCTTTCTTTTTTTTGGGGGGGTGGGGGTAGGGGGGTCTTACTGCGTCTTTTCTTTAATTTTTTTTTCTGGTTTTTCTTTCTGCTATTTTATTTCCTTTCCTACCGTTTTTTGTTTATTTTTTCGTCTACAATAATTTTCCACTTGTTTATACGCTATAAATCTTTCATTATCCAATTTTTTTTTTCTCGTGGGGGTAACGAGCCTTTTTTTTCTCTCATTTTCTTTTCTGATTTACAGGGGTATAAAATGCAGTTGGAAATCCGTTATATTTTAGAGGCATTTAAATTATAATAATGACCGTTGTCAATTATGATATGTATATTCGTTTAATTTCCTATCTCTTATTCCCTTTTCCTTTGTTTCTAATCTTGTTTTTTCCAATCACCTTTTCCCTTTTT